GGGGGGGGGCTCGCTGGGATTTCTATGGAAACCCAGGTAACGAACGGAATGGAATAGCTCAAACCATCTGTTCTTCCCCTACTTATAAACTCGATAAGAGGAGCGTGTTTCACGATGACATCACTACAAATGCTCTCCTTTTATTCATCGCGCAGCCATCTGTGATGGTTTCCTCATGTGCCAAACACGCGAGCGGGTGCTGAGGGACGGGCAGGGGAACACTACCACCCCCTTACCCAGGGTTTCATTTCTCCCCTTGGAAAGCAGGCCTGGCCCTACAGAGGCTTCCTCGTCCCCTTCCTGAGACATCTGCAGAGCAACTGGCAGAGTTAGCTGGAAGAAATGATGGGCTCAGCGGCAAAAACCGAAGCGCAACCCAAAGCTGAGCTTCTCCACAGGCGCAATGGAGGGTCTGCCCTGGAGATCTCACCTGCAGAAGTAAGTGCTGGCACGCAGTGAGCCGGACAGGCAGCGGGCAGCCAGGATTTCTTGTGCCAGCAAGGTGTCGGGTTGTAGTGGGGCGGATTCTGCCTGCCCTCCCCATCCAGGGATGAAGCTGTGGCCTGAGATTTGGCTGTTGGGGGAGGTAGGGTTGGGGAATATGGGGCAGCTGAGGGCACAGGTGGTGCTGGATTTAACTGCCGCGGCTTCAGTACTTACCTCTTAGGCAGGTTCTCAACTAAAACCGTCCCACAGCTGGGGACGTGAGCTCTGCTCCTGTTCATCCATGTCCCCAGCGCGGGTGGGTTTGGTTCCGACTCACGGGGTTCTCGCAGTCATGCTGGTTAATAAAAGAGGTGACAGCAGCTGTTACCTGCCCTCCCCACTGCTGGAGGTCCTGGAATCAAGGTGCTGGCTGTGGCCAACAAGCACTGATTTTGGTGGCTGTAAACATCTCCTTGCACTGGAGGGTGGTAGTAGCGTGGGGGTGAGTTACCCAAGAGCAAAGCACTGGCTGGACTTGGCTCTGAAGTGGATCAGCAGCACTCGTGGAGTTGGTTTGTGTGGCTCAGTGTTTTGGGGGGTAAAATATCTTAGGTGGCAGCAAAGAGCTGAAGGTGGTGACAAAGAGCTGGAGGTGGTGATGCCATTAACCTGTTCCTTTTTTTTTTTTTTTTTTTTTTGTGGCAGCAGGCAGGGCCCTCTTTGAGGCAGAAGCTTTCGGACTTCCCTGTGGAGGAGAAAGAAAAGCTGGCTGAAGCTGAGATCAGGATACTGCAGAAACAGTTTCGGATAGTAGCAGAAAAGAGGAAATCTTATATTGCCAACATGAGGCATAAAATTCAGGCCCAGGAGTGAGTGCAGCTTTGCTCAGCTACGTTGTGCTTGGAAAGTTACTCCATGCCGAGATCTGGGGACCTTGGCACTGAGATAAGGAGGAGTAAGGACCAGCTCCAGCATTGCAGGTGGGATGTGCTAATGTCATTTGTCGTTCCGTTTTTACAGAAAAGAGATAAAGTCGCTGACTGAAGAACATCAAAAGGAATCATTAATGCTGAGCCAGCTCATATCCCTGAGAAATGAGATGCTGGATGACAAGATTTGTATGGAGCTCCAATGCCTTTTGCAGACCAAATATCAGTATGATTCTCTGATTAGAGACAGAAAAGCCCTGTTAGCCGACCTGAACAACCAGGTAAGAACATCTGGACCGTTCCTTGGCTGAGCACGGCGGAGCAGAGCAGAGTCACAGAGGGAGTCCTATGGCTGAAACTCCTCGACGTAAAATGCATTTAATTCAGGCCTTGGAATCTAATGCTGCCTCCTGGCAAAAGACACATAACGATGACAAATGGACCAAGTCAGGTTCCCGTTCAAGTCAGCAGCACCGGCTAGAAAAGTAAGGTCTGACTTTCAGCCCCACCAGTCTCTGCAGCTCCTCTTTGATGGCACACACCCGCCTGATGCAGCATCCCTCTGCTTGTCCCTTGACTTTTTTTTTTTTTTTTTTTCCTGCTAAAAAAAGAGGCCAAAATGGAACATTTAGTTGTGCTGCCTGAGACACGGCAAATATAGAAGAGCAGCAACATCTGAGGGATGTCCCACCACTTCTCCTGAGGACAGCCTGGTTGGATTGGGTCAGTGGTGGGGTGGGAGGCCAAGGGCAACGCAGTGCTCCAGAAGTGACAGGTCTCTCTGCAGCTCTGTGCTCTGAACAACCCGCCCGTGACAGAAGTCAGGGAACATGCTCGAGTAGCTTATAATTTCTCGAGGTGCCGCAGAGCTTTCCACAACAGGGTTAGCTTTCAGTCAGGGATCTCTTGGCTGAGTCATACCTCTCCCACCTGCCCCCTGCTTCGTTGTTCTCCAACTGCTTCATTCTTCTCGTGGATTTATTTCCTCTGGCAGGTCCCCACTTCTGGCAAAAGATTTCCTCCACTCATTCCCAGGGAGGACTGTACAGATCCCTGTCTGGTCAGCACAATACCATTACCAAAAAAACCATCATCTTTGCCTCCTCCACCCTACAGAGTGCTGCTGTGCCTTGTTCAACACCTGCTGAATTTCCCTCCAGAGGCAGCTGCATTTCCTTCGTGACACGAAAATAAACCCACTCCTAGTTACCGTTTATGTTACTGCTTGTGCAGGATGGGATCCTTTGGGATTAAAGCTGCTTCTATAACTGTGAGCTCATTAATGACATGGTTGCTGTAGTTCAGGTCAACAGAGAGTATTTTCTTTGGCTAAGCGTCCTGATAAGAGTCCAGAATGTAGGGGTGGCGATTATACTTTCTATTTTTTTTTTTTTTTTTTTTTTTTCCCC